TAATATCCTCTCGTCGATTGGCATAGATGAACAAGTGAAGTTGCTTGCCTGCTTGTGAAGCAAATGCTGTCGAAAATGACCTTCTCTTGTTGAAGTCTGTTGGTAATTGTTGGTAACTTCACTTTACTGCAGTTATCTTCGCCATCAGAAAGACAAATGATGAGCTTATGATAATTAGTACTTATCTTGCTTTTATGCTGCTCATAAAACTGATTCATTATCTTCAACGCCAACTCTATTGAATCGTACAATGGCGTTGATGAACCACAGTCTGGTCGAGAACGTAATGAGTTTTCAAAATCACTAAAATTATTTGTAATAGGACAGGCTTCATGAATAAGTTGTGTTGTTGAAGTTATTTTAGCACCACAATAAATAAGACCTATAGCATGAGGTAATCGATAGGAATAGAACTTGTCACACCATGCGCCTAGAGCACTAATACTCAAATCAAGAAGACTTTTAGAATTATTGGTCTGTGTATGTTGCATCGAACTACTAATATCGAATAGAATAACAGTTAGCTGCTCAATCGGACGCACATCCAAAACATTATCACGTAAAGATATATACGAATATTTGGATAAAACATCATCAGGTGCCACTTCATCCTTCTTGAATTTTTCTTTATTTGCATCAAATGGATCGTAAGCAATAAAGACATCGTCGGTATTCTTGGCTGGACTAATCATGTAAACAATACGTTGTGGTTGATTGAGTAGCACAAACTGCATGCAGTTGTGCTTCGACAGCATTGATGGACGAGCAAATGTGAAACAGCTGAACAAATCATTGGTAGAAAGTTCTTCTTGTATTTTTTTCAAATCATCATCCGTAAAACGATCGATGTCCTTGTGTTGTTCGAAAATATTGTCAATTGAGAATAAATGTTTGTCTTCTGTTGGTAGCCATATTGTATATTCACTAATAAAGCAGTCGAGGCCTTTAACATTTTTAGATCAAACAATAATTTATCAATATAATACCAAATTTTCGCTTCTTCTCTACTTACGGTTCTGTTTCATTTTTTTTTTGTGTCAATATGCTTAGCAATGCTCAAGTAAAATTTTACTTTATATTTCTCTATGTTAATCGCTAAAAACTGATTCAAATGGCTCGTTTTTTTTCTTCTATGCTGTGTAACTTTTGTGAAGTACGAGATAAAAACGACAGAATGCATCTGTCGTGAAAGAACTTTAATGAGACAGCTATATTGATAGAGAAATTGCTTAAAAAATCCACTAAAATGAATCCAAACGTGTCAAAATTTTTAAAATACACGGTTCTATTTGGTGTCGTTGTAACAATATACTCCGTTATATGATACACAAACTGAAAAATGTACTCACGTAATCTTCGAAGGCACCAGTTTTTCACTGCAGTTTTCGAGCCATTTCATAAACACTTTCAAATCTGTTTGCTTAATGTATGTATGTTTCGTTCCAGTAGATTTATTCTCTAATTCCATTAAACTGAACTTTTCATCTGAGGCAATAAACTTAATAACAGGATTGTCGAAATAAATATGACTGGCATGTTGAGTGTCGCCGGCTTCGCACAATTTACAAAGAATAATTTGCTCATAACCGTCACGCTCCTTTGAAGTAAATTGAGCTTTTTGAAAATTTACATAAAAAATATGAGGTGTATACAAGAACACTTGGTTGTTCGGTATAGTCTGTGGAAGACATTTACGGAAAAGCTGGTACAAAGCTCCACTGAGCAGCTGTTTTTCGAAAACGAACAAAGCACCTTCGATCATATGCTTGAAAGCAAGACAAGCAGGTGGAAATAAAATTTGGCGAAGTACAGTAAGAAAATGGGAGGAATGCGTTACATTAAGATGATTAAAATCTGTGTCAAGATTAGTGCCAAAAAGTAATGTCAATGAATATAGGCTAAGAAGATAGACCGACATAGCATCATCCGTTTGTTTTTCGTATGAAGATGGTTGCCATACTTCATCAATGTAAAATATTTCTTTTTTGGATTGATTTTGATAATTCAAATAGTGCGTTTCAAATTGTCGTGAACATTCGAACAAATAGAAATGTGGAATTTTACTATTTTCCCAATTGATAAAATTAGGTATTTCCAGATAATCTCGTAGCAGCTCATCAGATTCTAAAACATGCATACGATGGTTAAATAAAATCGGAAAAGTTCCGGTGAACGAGGACAGGCCACTATCGACGCAAATAACTTGGTACAGATCCTGCATTGTCTTGCCATCGTCCAACGTATATTGGCGGTCTTGGCCAGATAGTGTTTGAATACGAATAACGAGTAATTTACTATTTTGCAATGGTTTAAGTTCCAGAACTTGCCCCATATGTATGTTGAATAATTGTAATGTACCTGTGGATGCCAAACAGGAACTTCCGTTGAATAAGCCTAATTGTGCAGTTGTTTGTATATCATTGTCTTCGAGAAACCGAGCAATAAAATCTTTTATGCTCATTCCTGCTACTGGATAAGGATATAAATAATCTACGCCTAAATATTTGATTGTCAAACATTCTAAGCTTGCTGTTGACATTTCTATGTGATACGCTAGGGAAAAAATAGCCAAAGTAAGCATTTATGTATACAGTTCAAGCAAGCAGATGTCATTATTCTGTGGCTACCATGAATATCAATTTTATTATAGTATGCTTGATTGAAGATTGTATCAAGAGGGTTAACATATACTAATGAAGAATAGAACATCCATTTGTGTAGTGTGATGCAGAACAAACGGATATTTTTTTATTTTTTCAACTTTTATCAGGTATAAGTTTTTTATACTCAATTTATTATTCACAAGGTTTATAATGATGATAAGATGAGTGAAACCCTACATGTCTATCTAAAAAGTTTACAGATTTGATGTATGTGTACATGCTTTTCGCCTGTTTCTGTACCAAAATTTGTTGGTCTTCGTATATTTTGCTTTGCGCGTTGAACATTACACTCTTCAATATTTTGTTCTCAACTGAAAGATGACTCAATCAAATTCAAACATCAAACACAGACTAGGTACAAGGACAGATACATGTCATCAGCAATGATCCCAGTCCTTGTGTATACGTTATATTCATCTCATTTTGCCAAAATTGCTGAAAATTAGGTTCCGATGGATAGTATGCCAAATAGATGTGCATATATGACATCGAAGAAATGTTTACTTCCTTCACAGTTACTAAAACTGAAGAATCTCAACAAAATTATTGAAAATTGCGAAGTAGGAACCATTTCTGAGCCATATTCCAATCAACTTGGACGAGATTAGATGAGTTAGCCAATGTAGTGACTGTTGGTGGCTGAATTTATTACAGATTTTTCTATCTATCGGCGGTGGCCGAAAATTTTTGATTACTCCTTTCAATTTTTTTGTTCCAAGAAATTTTGAAATCGAAAAGAGAGAAAATAATAGTGGAGAACTCACTCAAACAAGTAACTAGTTTTGTGTGAGAGCGGAACATGGCGGCGGTTGAGATATCTCAATAGAGGGTCCGCCAAAGTACCAAACAAACCGGCATCCGCTAAATTTTTTTTCAGATGTTTTTGGCTCAAATGAAAGATCATATCGAGAAACTTATAAATCCAAAATATTAGATTTTTCTGATGTACTTATGGAAAATGCCACAGACCACAATCCTTCGATTTTTTGGATTACCCCATAAAAATCGCTTTTTTTACATTTGTATAGTCTAATCCCAACACTTCGAAGATTGTGACCCTTCGGATTTATTTACAAGTGCGTCAGAAAAATCTAATATTTTAAATTTATAAGTCTCACAACATGATCTTTCATTTTAGCTCAAAAAAATCTAAAAAGAAAAATTTTGCGGATGCCGGCTCCATATAAAGTTGATAAGTCTTTTGGCGGACCCTCTCTTAAATATTTTGTGGTCATTGATGGTGATGGCGGCTCAGTTGATTAACTTGTCCATTTCCAGTTTCGAATTTCAAGCAAAATTAAAACGTCTTTAGATTTCCTAAAGTTTCCCTTGTTACTTAAATTGGAGTTAACTGAAATTATATTGCTTTTCTAGGAGTTGAGAGACCTATCTATACTGAGATGGGCAAAGTAAGTTATTTTTGCATTGCCTTAATTAGACTGGCGCCGAAAAATAACTGCATTGTTCATCTCTACATTACAGAGCTAGGAAGAAAGTATTTGTACTTGTACTTTCTGTTCTTTTTTGCAAGTAAAAAGTAAAAGTACAAGTATTCATAGAAATACTTGATATTTGTACTTGTATTTTTGGAAAAGTACTTGGTACTTGAGTTTCAAGTATAAAACAACGTCATATACTGTAATCAAAATATCTTTTAGTTTCATTGAAATATTGCTAATACTCATGATGATAGAACGATGATCATAACTTTCGACTCATCGCAATGTTTCGATGGTGAATTAATAAACATCTTCTTATCGAATTTAGAACTGGATGTCATATTCCTTTCTTCATTTTATTTACGTCTGATCTGAATTTATCTTAGTTTTTTTGGTAATAGCTATTTATTTTCTAATCAGTGGACAGTACATTGGTCTTTAAAAATTCGTCAGAGTTACTCTGCCTTTGTTAGAATGGTTAATGATCACTAGATCGGAATCTAGATAACTCTTTTTATTTTTCAAATGATCGCACAATATATAGGATCAGCCAGGGAAAATCCCAAGCAATAGAAAGGAAAATATCCTTGAATATTTCAAATAGAATGTTTGGAACATACCAAACGAAGAATAGAAAAAAAAAAGATATATGTATATATGTGTTGCACTGGCTGTCTGTACGACATCTAGAGGAAAAGAAAGAAAAAAATATATATAGTGATTCTCACTGTAACAGCCTTATTCACGCAATTTGCTTTTTGGATAACTTGAAGATAAGTACCAAGTACTTTTCCGAAAGTCCAAGTGCAAGTATCAAGTACTTTTCTGAAAGTACAAGTACAATACTTTTACTTGCTGTACTTGTACTTATCCTAGCTCTGCTACATTACCACTATTATTCTGCTCTTAGTACTGTAAAACAAGACCATTTCGATCATGTCGAAGATAAAACTACGAGAAGAAGATAAAAGTTACTCGTCTATACTCAGTATAGAATCACAATAAGAAGAAAGGTGGTTCCAAAATATCTTAATATGATCTTCAAATAAACTATTACACTTACCTATGGTTTGCTTATTCGAAAAATTTCGTTTAATGAGAGTAATGTATTCTTACTGATGTTTCTGTTTTATATATCGTTGACTCGAGATCATGCAATAAGAAAAAACACTTGTGAGAATTAATCATAAATGAGTTTTTTCCCTTCACATCTTCTTCCGATTGGTTTTTTCTAGTGCGTCACACAGTTTGTCATTCGTCTAGAGTA